ACAATACGAATACAGGAACCACAAAGAGCAATGACACATAGATGATGAATACATTAACGGTACAAAACATTGTCACAGAAAATGCGAAACAAAGCTAATAAGTTGTACAGTGCACAAGTATTTTTTTATTTTTTTGTAAGCTCTTTACTTTACACAAAGCAGCATACCTTATTTTCATTCTACTATACAGTTTATCATTGTCTGATAGGGTAATATTGTCCATACGTCTTGTATTACGCTCAAGAAATGAGCCAAGTTGTTTCATCGCCTTTTGACCTTCCCGATTTTTACATTAACCTATAAAGCCTCTAGGTTATTCATATCGAGATTTTTTGAAAGCAAAGATATTGTTATGAGTGTTTCATCGGCCTCTTTACTGTCAAGATATCGTTTCACCACATCTTCTGTACGCTTGGAACCTGCTGGGAGATCAATTCCAGCCCACTAAATTATGTTTCTGGGGTACTGGCATCAGAATCTGCCTATTCTTGTCAGTAGTTAGAGTGTCATCGGTAGAAGCGGTTTTATATCCCCGACAACGTTGGCTGAGATGCAGCCTCAAACTTGTATTCCCTCCGTTATGTTTGACTGTAGGTGATATGTATTAATTATGATACCGTTCTTCTCTCCACTGTCGAACAATCGACGTTTTTCAATCTGTTATTATATACTATTATGCTTTTATACTATTATAGTTAACGCATTTTACTGTAGCGGAAGTATAACTACAGTGTTATAAACATTTTCCATAATGTAGCAATAGATACGAAGGGGTGGGGCGGGAAATGGCATTGAACATATTTACGTACCAGTCGAGTCAAGCATTCCATGAAAAAAGCCGAATCAAGAAAGAAAATTTCTATACAAATATTTAGGTAAGACCTCGGTAGTATATGTCTAACAACTGACAACAACTACCTTACTTTGGGTATAAAAGGGGCTAAGTTCTTTCTTCCAGACCAATTCTGCTCTTGTAGTTACTGTCTACAGCTTCTCAGAAACCCAAAGCCATGAACACTTTGGTAAGCCAATGTCACTGTAATTCTTTGATTGAAAATAGAAATTACACACTATTTTTATGCTTCGAATATAAAACAAATATAAAACCTACTCTACACCAACTTGTTGTACCCTCAGTTTCTTAAAGCTACAATAGTCACAATTTTAATTAAAATGGCGCTTCTATTTCGTAGATTGCTAAGATACAAGTTGCCAAGAAAGGAAACCTCATAAACATACTAGAAGTAGTTCTCGTCAATTTATAATAATATTTGATTTTTGTGATCAGCAAATATAGTAGAGACGAAACCTTAAAGCAAAATAACTTTATAAAACTAATAATTTTGTAATTATGGAGGTAGAAAGTGAATGGTAACGTATTCAATATTTTAAAGAATATATATTATAACTAATGTTATATGAACTACTAGTAAATAATGAACAAGAATATTATAGCTAATGTTATATGAACTACTAGTAATTAATGAACGAGAATATTATAGCTAATGTTATATGAACTACTAGTAATTAATGAGCGAGAATATTATAGCTAATGTTATATGAACTACTAGTAATTAATGAACGAGAATATTATAGCTAATGTTATATGAACTACTAGTAATTAATGAGCGAGGATATTAAAGCTAATGTTGTTCTATTTCTAATACTTGAAAATTAAATCATTCAGTAACACAACCATACATTGTAAATATTATATATAAACATTTTTTGTTTCAGTTGACCCTCACTTTTCTCGCCCTATGCTCTGTGGCATTTGGTGGCTTGCTGGGTGGTGGTGGTTTTCCAGGTCCTTTTTATGGAGGTTATTATGGAGGAGGAGCTGTAACCGGTAGCTCTGCCGTCACCCATAGCTTCGACAACCAGCGTGCTTTGACTGGATACGGGTATGGCTTCCCTGGATTCGGCTATGGATATGGTGGTTATGGTGGCTACCTTGGCTATGGTGGCTACGGTGGTTATGGTGGCTATCCTTATGGAGGTTATGGCTATGGTCTTGGCTACAAATTCCACTAAACTCCTATTGGTAAGATTTCAATTATTCTAAGTGTAGTATAGCACGTATGTCTTAGTGTAGAACATAACCGTACACAATCTTCTTTGTTTAAATAAGCATGGAGTTTAAAGTCTTGGTATCCAAGGTATGGAACTGAGCTGAAGAACTCGTTATCAACATGTAGTATTTTATTACCGATGTCTGAAGCTTATTTTGGAGAAATAAAGCTCTTGGCACCAAAATGAGACTTAAATCAAATTTATTATCAAGGTTTGAAACTTATTCTATCATGTTTCTAGAAAATGTTTGAGTATTTAAACTTTTCACTTTTGGTTTCTGAGAAGGAGAACAAAATTTTCTGATGATTAGTTTATATAAAAAAATTAAAGTTTTTATTGTTGATTAAACTTGATACCTCTTTCCCGCTCAAAAATTAGTACTGATTGATTGATGACGTAAATTTTTGTGATGGTTAAGAAAATTTTGTACTTTGCCTCATAATGTTAAAACGATTCAGATAATTTAAATAACTACATTTCATTCTTGACAACGCTGAACCACAGAGATCAGTACATTTATACGAGGTTTATTGAAACTTTATCAAGTTGATACTTTTAACTGTCACTTAATTTTTCTTATTTTCTTATTATAAAAATATTGGATGATTTGGAGTTTTTTTTAGCGTAGCTTGTATTTCATTGTCGAAACAACATTATTTTACAATTGCATTGGTTTAGTGACGTCGTATATAAATAGTTTGATCTATTTTGTCACGCATAGTTTAGATAACCATTGAATAATGTTTTGGTTTATCATTTTATATATTCTGTTGTGATACAAATAAAAATTCTCGAAAGTTTGGAGTTTATACAATAACAAATTATCTTTTCATTTTATTCTTTTAGGAAAATACAAAGCATAACCAACGAAAAAGTCAAGAAATACCGAAAAATCATTAGATGTACTGTACAAAGTGTTTTGGAAATGTGTAAATGACTACAACAATAAAATTATATTTTGCAACAAACCAGAGTCATAAAGTTAATTCAGTTTCATATAACCCACATTATGACGATGAACAAAAGTTGTGGTGTACAAATATATAAGCTAATTCAGTTTAATATAACCCATATCATGACGATGAACAAGAATTGTGGTGTACAAATATACAAGTTAATTCGGTTTAAAATAACCCACATCATGACGATGAACAAGAGTTGTGGCTACAAATATACAAGTTAATTCGGTTTAATATAACCCACATCATAGCGATGAAAAAGAGTTGTGGTGTAAAAATATACAAGTTAGTTCGATTTCATATAACTCACATCATAACAATGAACAAGAGCTGTGGTTTACATAAAGATAATTTATATATTATGAAATGATTGAATTAATGGTTTACATTGTACATTTTATCTATCACAATATTACCTTGAAAGAAAGTTTTAGTTGATATGTTTGCTATCAATGGATATTTAGACATAATTTGTATTTATATGCAAAATAAAAGACCATGAAATAATGATGTAAAACATTATAAAAACACTTTTAGCACGCAGCACAGTATTACACTGTCATAAAATATGGAATAAGAAAACAAATCCTAAATGCTCCAGTAGACTCTAGCCACATAAATATAATTGTTAATGGAATTCATCATGTCTCCTTTTTTTTAAAAAAAAAAAAGCAGTAGATTTAAAAAAGGAGAAGTATTAGGAACTTATTTCTATTGTATACTTTCATCGATAAATAAATATCAATATAGGATACTTTATGATATTGAAATATACAACTAATGTTAACTCGTTTATTTGTAAGTATTAAATTTAGCTCTGAATAATAATAAAAAAACGGGTATTGAAACTCGGTTATTAGCGTTGTAAGTCCGCAGACATGTCGCTGTGACACTGGGGGACCTATCTGAATGCTACATCTGCACTGTCCCACCAAAAGTCATGGGACACACCTCTGGTTGCAGGAAAACGGGTGTGACGACGAAATATGCAAATAGTTTGGCCTATAAAGGTGATCAGCGGTTCGCTCGGAAGTCATTTTCGAACTTGTACACTGAATGATGAGTATACGGAAAGAGCTAAAAGAGTTTCAGAGCGGAAGAAGATTTGGATGTCATTGTGGAAAATGTCTGTACGTGCTATTGCGCAACAATTAAACATTCCAGAAATGGAAGTCGACAGGTAACAATGAGCCCAAGAAACGACCAGGTAGGCGTAAAATACTGACTGATAGGAGCTGACGCACCTTGAGAAGCCTGTTTACCTCATCTTACTATCAGAAACGAGAAAATCTGTGTTTGGATATGCGAGCAGCCACAGGCAATCCTATAAGTATTTCCAGAGCTGGATGCCATGAATTTTCACGGAAGAGCTGCAGCCCACAAGCCGTTGATAACAAAAACAAATGCACTCCGTCGAATGGCATGGGGCAAGGCACACCGAACCTGGACCGTGGATCAATGGAAATCGGTCCTGTGGAGAGACGAGTCACGCTACACGCTCTTCCAGTCTGATGGAAGTGTTTGGGTATGGAGGAAGCTTGGAGAACTCTTATTACCTGAGTGTGTTGTCCCAACAGTGAAGTTTGGAAGTAGTGGTATCATGATCTGGGGGTGCTTCTCGTGGTATGGACTAGGTCCACTAGTCGCAGTGCATGGATCCATGAATGCTGAGTCCTATATTGATGTTCTGACAACACGCTATTGCTTTATTGGAATAAAGACATGTTTTATTCAAAACTACCCCTGTCCCATAACTTTTGATGGATTAGTGTATATACGATTAACTGGGCAAAAAAACTACATTTTATACTGTTTACAGTAGCAGCAAAGTTTCAAACAAAACTTTTACTAAAACAATAAATTTACACTATTTACAGTGTCAAATGTAACATATGTATCGTAATTTTTAAAAGTGTATTTGTTAACTTGAATTATTTAATAGTTTTAGCACAAGTGATAAAGCTATATATATATTGCAATTGTTAATATAAATATTAAGTCAACCAAAAATGGCTTGTAATTTGAAATGGAAAGCGTTTCATAGATACGAAGTTTTTATAAAGCAGTTACACCTATTTTCTATGGCTGTTATATTGCAATGAGTCACCCGGTTTTACCGTATTCTTAATAGAAGTGCACCGGCCCGACATGGTCAGGTGGTTAGGGCGCTCGACTCGCAATCTGCGGGTCGCGGGTTCGATTACCTCCACACCAAACATGCTCGCCCTTTCAGCCGTGGGGGCGTTATAATGTGACGTCAATCCCACTATTCGTCGGTAAAAGAGTAGCCCAAGAGTTGGCGGTAGGTGGTGATGACTAGCTGCCTTCCCTCTAGTCTTACACTGCTAAATTAGGGACGGCTAGCGCAGATAGCCCTGGTGTAGCTTTGCGCGAAAATTCAAAAACAAAAACAAACAAACTCTCTGATCAGCAGGTGTAGGGTAATAACAGAACACCACAAACAAACAGCTGTATAACGCCTTGTAGCAAATACTTAAACAGGCAGTTGGATGGGTACCTTAATAATACATTGCGTGACTGCTATACTGACTGAGACATTTTGGTTGTGAATATTTACTTATAAACTTCAGCGGAATAGGCAGTTGCTAGGCGGTAAACTATGATCGCCGTCTTTTCAATTGCAACCGAAACGTTATTACTTAAATTCAATTTCATATGTCTGGGTGAATAGCGTTTTCAAGTTGCTGTTCACGATATTCACTTAGCCTTAGCACAATCCAGACAGCTGTACTCGAACAATAAAAACAGCTTTTATAGTTAATTTTAACCAAGTAACGTCCGAAATGTATTAATTAAGTATGTATTACTGTTTTTGTTTTTTTTAAGAATAACAGTTAAAGCCATTATGATGTCGACGTTTAGTTCTCGACATCTTTGACAGTGACATTGTTTAATTAAACAGAAAATTTTCACGTAGCAGCTTGGTTTAAAAGAATAACTTTTAAGGTGGTATACAATTTAGTCTTAATTAACTGTCCTGCTTCTTACAATTTAGTCTTAATTAACTGTCCTGCTTCTTACAATTTAGTCTTAATTAACTGTCCTGCTTCTTACAATTTAGTCTTAATTAACTGTCCTGCTTTTACAATTTAGTCTTAATTAACTGTCCTACTTCTTTTAAGCTTATAGTAGAGATACAGCGTTATTTTATACAAAAATCCTTCGATTTCGAAATACAGACGTTCTACGCAATACGTTTCTTTAATAGAAATATTGTAATATTAATTTTTTTTCTGTCCATACATGGTACGTTTCTATTGAAAACAGCTGACAAACAAGCCATATTTCAAGGAATCTGTTTACGGAAAGCTTGGATTTTTCCTGAGAAGTAAACAGGTGTACGTATCCAGCCTGAAAGGAATTAAGTGCATAATTTCGAATCTGGTCTCATGTTGAACGTAAAACATATTTTCACATAAATCGCCTACAGAAGATTTTATTGTTTACACTTAATATATCATGACTTTTTTAAACAAGTAATTGATTTTCTAAGAACAAAAATTCTTCATTATTTTTTTATCTATTTCTTCCATTAATTTATACAGTAATTACCTTTTTCTTATATCTTGGCAAATTGATGCGCTTGCAATAAAGATGTAATGCTGCCTACAAACACTTCAAAGCGAGTATAACACAATTTAAGAATACTGTCTACGAGTGTACAAGCAGTTATGAGAAGTATGTTATTAGTTTATTGTCTTACAAAATGGCCCACAAAATTCCGTTTCTTATATGTAAATTGTAAATGTTCCTCCACAGAAAGCTGTACACCATCACAAAGCTACACTTGCGAAATTTGTTTTGTTGTTTAACCTGTAATGTCGAAAGAAAAAAGGTCCACCTCAATCTTTTTCGTGACTAGCATACCTAGAACTAAAATGTCATAACTTAATCAATAACAAAAATTAAGAATGCTTTTTCTACAAAATAAATACAGCAAAATATCAAAAGCTCAAGCCATCCATTTAGTGTTTCAAAACTTCTCCAGATTTGAGTCCGTGAGACTATTTAGCTTACATTGTTTGTTTTTCACAGATACTGAGTCAGTTTTGTTTGAGTTTGATTATGTGAGGTGAGTATAAAATGTTATAGGTTTTATTAATTATGGCATCTCATCGTGTGCATTGAAAGCGCCATCGTTTACTGTAAAACAGCTTTGCCACGTATTGGACTTTTTTTTTCCATGACCTAAAATCCATTAAACAAATATTTCACTGGATTTACTTGACTGTAGTATTAGTCACCCTATAATTAATAGATTAATAAACGTTAGAAGTGTTTACAAACAGCGGTCTGGTTGTCAAAGAATTTACCGTAACTTTTCATATAAAAAATGATTTTGTTCGAAAAAGTGAGTGTGCAGAGTACTGATAATTACATATGCCATTATAAATAAAAAATAATAATTGTCACTAAACTTCTAACATATTCAGACGAACGTTTAAAGCTCAACAAATATGTTGGTTTCAACACGAAATTAAAGGACTAGACAACTTCCAAATTAGAAAATAAACTTATTTCGACAGCTCGTTGGGTTACGATGTGACTTTTTTTTTAGGTTTCTGCTTCCGTAATAATTTTCATTTGTTTTGTTCTAGGTGAAGGCCTAAAATATTGTAAAAAAAAATTCATATATCAGATCAATACCCTCTAGTTATGATACGACCAACATATTGATTCAAAATTAAAAGTATATACAATATGAGAACCAGAGATTTATTTCTTTGTTTTAGACCAAAGCTAAGCAACGGGCTATCTAAGATGAGGGAGGCGAATTATGGGATATTGCAGGATGGAAAAGTGCCCCCTCTCCTACGAAGATTAGAAGAACCTAACAATAAAGTAGCCGTTTTATGCTTTTACTTTGTGTATTATCAAACTACAGTACAATTCATTACCAGGCTACATAACATTGCATTTTCGCTTTAGAACGTCAAGCGGTCCCTGGATTGCCAGAAGAATATGCATTTTCCCACCTCAAA